GAAAGTGAAGGAAGATTATGAAGGAGAGATGGATGAGTTGAAAGAAAAAGAGAAGTCGTTGGAAGCAGAGAAGAAGAGGTGGGGAGATCAGGTGGTATTTCTACAACAGGAATTAATGAAATTTAATAAAGAAAAAGGTAATGAACAAATTGTGTAAAAAAAAAAAATCATTTTTCATTCATTCCATTTTGTTTATTTATTCACTTGCATACCATTTGAATATTGACTAACATCTATTCAATCTCATTTGTACATCATCTATAAATTCCTATGTCTATTAATCAGGTATGTTTTGTTAATGTAGGAATTAGTGGGGAAAGAAATGAAGCTGGGTTTTAAAGAAGCTCTTTGCAAAAATGTTGGTTAACCTGTTATAATTTATTTTAATTTTGATAAATCACACAGATTTACAAACTGCTTCATACTCACAGCTTAAGCGTGATCTTGAAGAAATTGAAGGTTATTCTAATGGTAACTATAATGCTCAATATTCCTTAGATGTTTTATTCTGGTTCATATACTTATTATTCTATTATAACATTAAAATGTTAGTAAAAAAACCTAGAAAGGAAGAAGGCATGAATATTTTACATAATATAATGAATAATTACTATACTACATAGTTTGTGAATATGCTTAAACAATTGATTGACTAAATAATGATTGTATTATTTTGAATTCTGTCAATGATAACATTTTATAGAATTTGCTGCGGATATATTTCAGAGGAAAGCTACTGAACTTATGGAGAAAATTAATAAGATTTCGGATAACTCAATTGATTATTCAAATCCAGAAAAAATCTCAGAACTACCATTTCCATTTCTTGGAACTAAGAAACCAACAGATCGTTTTAATACTTACAATAACTACTATTTCAAATATATTGGTAGGGAAAAGTTTGAAAAGATTCTAGAAGATATTAACAAAATGAAAGCAGGTATTACAAACATGAGTTATTACATTTATGGTACTATGGGTTATGGAAAATCACATATCCTTGCTGCAATGACATGCTATCTTCTTCGTACTGGAAGGTGTGTAGTGTATCTTCCAGATTTCCATGTCTTTGCCAATGATCCATTAAACTACATCAAATCAGCTCTGTTTCTAACATTTGCTTATAAAGAAGATGAATTTAAGGCCATTTTAAATTGTGAAAAAATTGAGGATATTGTTAGATTCTGCCATTCATTAGGAATATGTAACCGCAGATTATATTTTATTATAGATCAACTCAATGCTTTAGATTATGATGAAGGTACCAATGCTGCATTCAGCAATGATGTTCCAATATGTAAAAAAGAGATTATGTATGATCTGATTACTAAAATGACTAGTGAACATTATATAATCAAAAGTGCATCAGCAAATAACAAATCAGCATTATACTTACAAAGAAAGCAATTAAATGAAGATAAAATAGTAGTGATTGGAGGGTATACTAAGGTATGATGTACATTATTCAATTTGTTTATCAAATTTATTCTTCTTTCTTACTTGTTTTCTTTTAGAATGAGATGAAGGGATGGTGGAATTTGCACAATAATATTTTATCAGAAATGGACACTTTAGAAAGAAACCAAGTTGAAGAAGCAACTGGTAAAATTCCACTTCTTTTAAATGCCTTTCTATCATTTGGTAATAAGCCTTTCCAAAGAGCATGGGAAGATTTTCACTTATCAAATGTAGTTAGAGATATATGTGAGGACTTAACATCTTTTACAGAAAGAAAGAAAGAGGAAGGTGAAATTGTTTGGAACAAGTATGTTTTATAATTCAACTATTTTTGAGTGAATCAAATAGAAATTAACTCATTTATTTGCAATAGTTATCTTGATTTGATGTCTAAGTTTGTATCACAAGGATATCTTTTAAGTTGTGCTGAACATAATTATGATCATCGTTATTTCTATCGAGAGCAGGGCTACTGCAAGTATGTCTGTGGACTAGCACGGGATTACATGGCACAAATTCTTCATGAAAATGAGAAACTATCATTCTTTTTAGAAAATAGTTGGCAATATGGTATTAAAATGTTCCAAAACAGTCCCTCAGTAAAAGGTTTTTATGTAGAAAAAGTATGTCTTGTTAGTATTCAAAAAGAAGGATTGATGGCTGGGTCAGAAAATTATAAACCTCTCAAAACAGTTTTTCTTGGAAATGATTTGGTATTGGATACATCTCATTTGTGTGTATTATACATACCCTCAATTTGGATTTTTTCAGCTATTGATGGATTAATTGTAAAGATTGAACATGAAAAGGAGACAGCACATGTTCTACCAATTCAAATAACTGTAAATAATCATCATTCTAAGTCAGATGATAAATTCTTCACTGATATATGGAGTTCTTTAAAATCACAGCTTAATGATTACACAATATTTATCAAATTCATATGGATAACTCTTAGAAATAAAGAACCAGAATTAATACAATGTTGTAAAAGGCAATCCAGAAGTGGAGAACAAGAGATCAATCCTGAATATACTAGATTCTGGATTAATGTTAAAACTATGAACAATGACATCATGCGTTACTTGAGATGATGATGTTGAGAATTTTCTGGATGTAACTCCATAAGCAAAATAACCATTGCAAAATAATAATAAAAATTTTATTGCAAGTTCTAATGAATATTGAAAAGCAATTGATTTTTTAGAAAAAGGTTGTAAATGTGGTTGCTCTTCAAGAATTCCCAAAGAGCAATTTGCAGAATTAAGGGAATCCTTTCAAGCTCTCACTAAATTAGAACAAGACATATTTTTGATGGCCCAACTTAAAGCAATGGATGGTGGAACAATATGCACCAGTACTACCTAAATTATTCGTAATGTTTAGTGGTAATATCCGAGGATCGGCCAAGGAAGGGCTTGTTAAAAACAGTGATCTATCTTCCATTTACACACATAGTTAAGAATGTTCATAATGGATAAATTACTTCTGATCTTATCAATGTCTTGATCGTTGCTAATTATTCTTTTAGTTTATAGCTATGGTCATATCCATTTTGAATCACTTCTTAGTACACTTTTTAACACAGACCTCCGAGATCACTATCAAAATAACTGAATCAGTCGGTCTATTTCAATGCAAATCAGTAGACTTCCAAACCATTGTTATTAACATTCATCGTGACATTTTTTTCATTTTTTTTTAACAGCTCATGACATTTTGTTAAATTTTTTATTTTTTTTTGATTATTATTTTTATTTTTGAGGAAAAATTTTTAAAAAAAAACGGGATAAATAAATATTTTCTTCCATTCTAACGCCATTAATGATTCCATAAAGTGATATGTAATTATCATAAAATATTGATAATTATTTTTCTTCATAAGATGGAGTGTTAGGTATTGATTGATGGTTCCATTATAACGCCGTTCATTAAAAACAAGTTGAACACAGAATTAATTGTTAGAGATTCCATAAAGTGATATGTAATTATCAGTAGCGCCTATTGCCATTACCATATGATGGCCAGCAAGTGTTAATGAAGTAACTTGTGCACCCCAACCCAAAAACCCTGTATTGTAGCGCGTTACTGAAAGATTTGCAAGAGTGGTTGTATTCCATACTTTGATCAATTGGTTTGAATGGACGCTTTTTTAGTTTTAATAAACATAAATATTAATACAATTTCAATGCATTTATTTGAATAAAATTGAGCAATCGAATAAACAAAAAAGATTTGATTTACCCTGCCACAACTTCTGCATTATGATGAACATCCATAGCATTTAATTCAGATTTATTGGGATCATCTGAAATTGTTACCTTTGAACAGTTGTTTCTTAAATCCCACAATTTTATTTCTCCAGATTTACTTCCAGATACCAATTTGTGCCCTGCACCTCTTTGCCAAACAATATTTATTATAAAGTTCTTATGTTCTTTACTTGTCATAATCAATGCATCTCTTGGTTGAATACGTCTATCAAATAAACGAACTGCTCCATCTGCGTACCCTGCAGCAAACAAGTCACCACCATCACTTGTAAGACTTGTAATAGAACTACCCGACCTTGTTGAAATTGACTAATAATAAAGTTGATGATTATGACAATTATGATTATGATAATAAAAGTAGAAATGATTTGGTTTTTTATCAATTTAATGTTTCTAATAAATTTTTCCTCATGACCTACCGAAACTGTAATTTCACGTAAAGCGTCCCATACTCTAATCACTCTATCATCACCTCCAACCAAAAGTATTCCACGAGATTGTTGCCATTCTGCTATTAAGCCGCTTCTTGTGCTATTTGGTAAAATTTCTGGCATGGCTCGCCATGATGTCACTAATTCAGTTGAAGAAGAAGAACTATAATTGCGGAATATTCGAACAACTCCATCACCTTAAAAATTGTAATATTTAGTTGTTTATTTTTTCATAAAATACAATTTTATTTTAAAAAAGAGATTGAATATATTTGTATTTACTTGATCCTGTAAGTAGCATTGATGCATCATCTTCATTTATAAATTTTAATGCTGTGATTTTACTTTCACCAGGATTATCATTTGTAAAAGTATTAACACGATAATGATCCTTCCAGTTCCACACACTAGATTATAATTATTAGTATTTTTTTTTCTTTAGAAATCATATGATTTTTATCCTATAAATTACCTTATTGCATCTTTATTTGCTGCAACAAGATATGGCTCAAATTGATGAAAAAGTAATTTTGAAGGTTCTGAATCGTTATTAAACAAAGCTACCTGTTTATTCCATCGACTCGACCCTATATAATATATATTAAGAGAGTATGTATATATATATATATATATATATATATATATAAATCATAACTAATTTTATGGGGGGAACAAACAATTATTATTATTTACCAGCAACTTCTTTCAACGGTTTTGTGATTTGTATTAAACTCTCATTTCTCTTATGTCTCCATAATCTTACATTATCATCAACACTTCCAAGCTGTTCAGATTCAGCTGGCTTTGATAGGTTTAAATGGAATGATTAAGTATATATATATATATATATATTAATTTATTATTATTAAAACAAATTAAATAAATGATAAATATATATTTACCCTCATTTGTGATTCACGAAAATATTCACAACTCCAGTCGAAGAATTTAGATTTTAATGGTAGTACTTCATAATTTGATGAATTAGTTCTATTATTTGATGATTGTCTATAACCTTCTATTTCTTGAGAACCTTGCTCATTCAACACATTTCGAATCAATGCAGCACAATTTTCTTTTATATTAGGTTGTAATAATTTCTCATTTATATAATCAATCACAGTCATAGCAAATTGGTTTACTTCAAAATCGGAGTCTGCAGATAAATTTAATAATGCTTTCCATACACACGAATAGACTGAATTCGATCGAACTTCTCTAAACTGCCTCGTTGTTAAATTTCTTCTTCTTATTTCTTGTACCTCTTCATAAGCTGCTTTTACAAATTGATCCTGATATTGATGAACTATATGCGAAAGTGCAATCACTAATTCTCTTCGCACTATAGGAGATGCATCATTATTTGCATCAAGTATATTAATGGCAATGTTATGATCAATATTAAGAACTTGATCTGTGCGTTCTAAATCTCCAATAAACGTGCCAAAGGCATAAAGTGCTGATGCTCTAACCTCAGGAACCGGATCGTTCAAAAGATTAAATAGTTTCAAATGTGCTTGATTTTCAATACCATCATTTTTAGCATCTGGATAATTTAACCAATACTGACCAATACACAAGCATGCCCATTGCCTTAATAACGGATCTGCATCATTAAGACGTGCCAAACACGCATTTAAGACATTAGAATTTTTACAAGCAGCTTGTCCTTGATTAGAATTGGTACAAAAAACTGCTAATATGAAGGCACACATTGCTCTATGTTCTGATTCATTCGGAATGTTTAAATTGGTATTTGGAGATAAAATATTAACGAAATATTCATAACCTTTGTCTTTTAAAAGATCTTGTTGACAAGATCTATCAACAGCTAAAATACGGGCCCAAATAAATACCAATGGTGGTTTTAAATCAGCAGCAGGACTTTGAAGTAATTTCAATACGTAGGGAAATATTCCTATGGAAAGTGCTAAATTAACTGCTTTTGGACCCAAGTCTAGATATTTGCTTAATAACCCAAGAGCTCGAGATCTATGAGCTTGACTTAGAAGAACTTGTAGTACGATAGGTAATTGTTCTGGGGGTTTTTGCGAAACCGAACCTTTTGATAACCACACCTGGAAGGCTGTTAATTGTTCATCAAAAAAAGTAGAATGTATATATTCCACATCGCCACCATTTTTGTCCGAGTTTAGAAGAGCAGGTAACTGTGATAAGCACATGTCCACAGCGAGGTCCCATGAATCCCACATTGGATGATCGTGCGTGTGTGGTAATTTAGGATATGACATTGGATTACATTGGTAACGTCTCATTATTCTTTCTGCCAATAAAAAATTTCTAAATAATGCAGCGACCATTAAATCTTGACGAAACAATTGCTTGAAAAGATCGCGTGAAAGAACATTCCAGGCAATTGTGTCAGTTATTGCAGTAAAAATCCAATTTAATTCACCTAAAGGTGTACGACGATCTTGTAATCTTCCAGGGAGTTTAATCACCATATCCACGGTTAAATAAGATGGTAATGGATTTTGTAACACAAACCAACGTAAAGCAATTTCGATAGGTGATGTTAAACATGATGTAAATAAGTCTGCAGGAAGATGTGGATGCATCGGCAGAGTTTCATTTGGACCACATGCTGCCAAATGGATATTCATAGGAGTTTGCGAAATATTACCATTGGAGTCATTTCTTGAAGATTCTAAATATCTTTGTTCTGAAAATCTTTTGAAGCTCTCAAGAATATTTCCAGCAGCTGAACAATCATAAACATAAATACAAGGTGAACCAAGCCATGATTGTAAATCACCCAAAGATACTGGAATATATTGTGTAAAAAGCTTGTTAAAAAACCATATTTCACCACTTGCTGTGGGTTTTGGAACACCGTGACCATTATAATGAAACAAAACTCTTTCTTCTTTGGCATTTTTTCTAAGACTTGTGCAAAACTTTTTCATCTCATCAACCGAGGGGTCAAGGTATTGCCTATAACGGGTTCTGACACTAAGCTGTTCATATTGTGCCTGTAGATTTTTGCCAATTGCGTCTAATGCTTTTGGTGGTGGTAATGAAAATGGATTTACCCAGCATTCAAGTTTTGCACATGGACTTGGTTTAACTACATCGGGTGGATCAACTCCAATATTTAAGCATAGAACTAATGCGGCGGAAACTGTTTTAAGTCTTTCTCGCATTCTCCAATCTTGAACAATGGGTTCTTCCCTTATTTGTGTTGTATTAGAATTATGCAACTTGTCATTATAATATACGTATTTCATTTCGGTATAATTTGAGTCTGCTTCATTTAGCTCATCAATCAATATATTTTGACCCATGATGAAAATCACTTGGAAAATTAATTTGTAAAAAAATTATATATATAAAAAATATATATATACACAATAAAATAGATTATAGAGATTTCACACTTAAATTTGTTACACTGATTCATTTTATATCTATTCCATCTATTTTTATATAAAAAATATATTTTTTATTGTATTTTTATTTATAAAAAATTTAATTAAGCAATTAAAAAATATTTATTTATTTACATATTAAAAAATGATTGCAAAAAAAAAAAAGTTTATTTTTCTTCCTCATCAAATTGTGCGCCCTTTTTCCTTAAGCGGCTAAAATAATTAATTGAAGAACGTTAATTTTGTATATATAAACGTTAACAATTATATGTATATATAATATGTTTAAACATACCGCCTTTTATTGTCGGAGATTATATCTCCCGGTATTGTATGTTTTTTGACGACTCTGTTATTAACAGGGGCAACAATACGTTTTACTATGTATTCATAAATAAATTTTTTTTTAAATGATTGTCATATAATATATGTGTGGGTTTGTAATTATAAAAATAATTCATGAATTATAAAAAAAAAACTTGTAATAATATTTGTCACCTTTGCTACGTCTAGCACTAGCTTTAACAGGAACCTCGTCGTCTGATTTGATAACGATCGGATTTGAACATGTCGATTTTTTTGAAGAAGATTCTGCTATTTTACCAGTAACACCATTATTTTCATCTTCCAAATCTATGATTACAATAGGGTTTTTACTTAACGGTTCCTTTATTTTTGTTTTTGCTCTAACATCAGTTGTTGAAGGTGAAGGATGAAAAATTGATGTTTGGATGGTTCTTCCAAGTTCATTTAATGATAATGGGTCTTTTTTAATAACAATTGGTAGATCTGTGTCATCATAGTCATCGGTACTATTATCAATAAAACTCGAATGTGGATTGATTATGTTTTTGGATAGTTTGTTGATTTTCATCTTTGATGTTGCACGGTTAGTATCAATGGAAAATGGATGGCTGTTTAAAATTGGAGGTCGACGATTTAAAATTGGAGAAGTTGGAGATGTATGATTATCATCGATAAAAGTGGGTTTATTCGTTTGTGTTGGTGAAGTTGAGCTATTATTGTTAATGATACTTGGTGATTGATGGTTTAAAATTGGAGGTTGGCGGCTTAAAATTGGAGGTGTTGTACGATTACCATTGATAAAAGAGGATTGATAAATTTGCGTTGGTGATATTGGATTATTATTATGAACGATACATGATGATTGACGGTTTAAAATTGAAGAAATTGGAGATGTGTGATTATCATCAGTAAAAGAGGATTTGTTCGTTTGCGTTGGTGAAGTTAAATTATTATTATTATTAATATTTGGTGATTGATGGCTTAAAATTGGAGACACATGATTATCATCGATAGAAGAGGATGATTGATGGGTTTTCATTGGTGAAGTTGAATTATTGTCATTAATAATACTTGGTGATTGATGGTTTAAAATCGGAGACGCATGTTCATCACCATCGATAGAGAAGGATGATTGATGAGTTTGTTTTGAATTATCATTATCGTTAAAAGTGAGTGAAGTAGCAATAGTAGTAGGGTTGACGATTTTAGGTTGTTGTTGGTACAGATCAGAAGCATCGAATTTATTGTCATTTATTATTGGGATTTTTGTGTTTGTAGATTGGTCAACGGAAATAGGATTGGTTGTACAAATTGGGTTGACTATGTTTTTTGTTGAATTTTTTGATAAATTGTGATTCAAGGGAGCATTAATAGATTCATCGATATTGTTGACTGTTGGAGGTGGTGTATGAATATGATAGTCGGTATCATTTGAAGATGAGAAATTAGTTGGATCAATCAAGTGATTTGATAGATTATGATCCAAATGACGAGCAGCAGCATCGTTATTTTTATGTATTGATGGCGTAGTGAACTGGTTAGTACTATCTGAATGGTTAGTGTGTGTTGGACTCAAAAAATTGAAATTAGAGCTGTAATTAATATTTAATTGTGAGCTACCGATGAATTTTCTATTACTATTTAAGAATTCTTGATCAGATTCGTCATCAGTTATTGTGTAAGCGTTTTCATCTGAATCAAGGGTAGAAGAAAAGTAGCTATGTTTTAATGGTGCGATAGTGAGAAGGTCTTCACCAGATCCCTTCTCATGATCACTCGTATAAATATCATAAAATAAATCGGATGACGGTAAGACTCTATTCATATCCCTGTTGTTATAATTATTATTATTGATTAAAAGCTCTGGACTGATGTTTTCTTGCTTTTGATGTTGTTCTTCCTCTTCCCGATGTTGTTCTTCTTTCCCATATTCTTCTTCCTCTTCCCGATGTTGTTCTTCTTCCCGGTGTTGTTCTTCCTCTTCCCGGTGTTGTTCTTCCTCTTCCCGGTGTTGTTCTTCCTCCTCCCGATGTTGTTCTTCTTCCCCTCGATGTTGTTTCTCTTCCTCTTCCCGATGTTGTTCTTCTTCCCGGTGTTGTTCTTCCTCCTCCCAATGTTGTTCTTCTTCCCCTCGATATTGTTTCTCTTCTTCTCGATGTTGTTCGTATCTGTTACCTGTTGGTAACAATGGCGATGATGGTCCAACACTAAGTGAGACAGATGATAGGGTATCAGGATCATCTATCATATCAGCATCATCAAAATTGAAAACATCTTTTTGATTCTTTTTTTTAAAAAAGTGATGAACGAGTAAATAAATAAAAAATAATAAGAATGTATAAATATGTATATTTAAATATTTACAACCTGACCCATCTCAGCTCTTATTAACTCAAGTCGGGCATTAGCTATTTGTGTCTTTTCATTTATATCTTTGTATTCTTTAATCTTTTGTTCGATCAAAATATCGTAATTTTTTAATTGATCTTCTGATGACTTAATTCTTTCTTGTAGCTTTAAAGTTAAAGTGGAAGATAGAAAAAGAAGAATATGATATATTATATATTTATATAATAAATGTTATTATTTAATATAATATAATATAATAATTTACAAGCTCCATTATTTCAACATGGTTTTTATATAAGGAGGATTCAAAATACTCTAAATAATAACATTTAACATTAAAACGAATATGAGTATTATTACGATTATTATTGTTACTAGAAGGACGACAAATTATGATAAGCAGTGATGAATGAACGAAAACTTACGCGTCTTATTTTCCTGAACCTTCTTCTCCAGCTCTGAGCAACGTCTCTCAGCTGCAACCCACTAATATACATGGATGAAATTAATGGTCGAATATCATGACCAAAAATAGATAATCAATATATATTTTTGGTAATTTTATGTGTCAATCTTGGCCCAAAAAAAGGGTTTTGAAAGCCAATTGTAATGAGCAATAAATATTTATGATATGTAATAATTTACCTTTTCTCGTATTTCTTCCACAAGATGAAGTGCTTTAGTTATGGTTTGTCGTTCAGTATTGTCAATGTTGCTGAATGACATTCTGAGATTATGATTATTATTATTTATAAATGATATATATGTACGTGTGTAGAAAAAGCTTTGTGTATATAGAGGAATTTAATAGTTTTTAAAAAAATATTTAAATTATTTTTCCTTTCGTGGTTTTATTAGTAAAGTTCTCTTTTTTAAAAAAAAATGTTTGTGTCAAAATGTTTATTTTGAGAAAATTTTTTGTTAAAAATATGTGTTGAAAAATTACCCACCCACTGAAGAATTTATTGATTGAAACTTTGTGTTACCACAAGTGTGATGTTTGTTATTTTTATATATAGTTTATCTTTTTTTTTTTTTATGATATAATAATTGCATTAAATATTGAGCTTATTGGCCAAAATCGTAGTATATAAATAATACTTTAACATCGTCCAAATCAATATTAATCATCTTTATTATCTACAGTGATATCATTTATTCTCGTTCTTAAACAGACCGAATGTAGTCAGGATTGGTTGGTCCTTCTTTTTTTTTTCTTACTATTTACGGTGATAATTCATCCCCGTTCTCAAACAGAAGAAAATAAAATATCAATTAATTTGACCAAATGTAGCCAAGATTGTTAACCTTTCTTTTTTTTTTTCGAAAAAACTTTCACTCAGGCATTTTGGCGCTATTACTATTTGATCAATACATACATCATTCGTTAATTTGACCGAATGTAGTCAAGATTGGTTGGTCATTCTTTTTTTTTCACGAAAAAACTTTTATTTGACTATTTGATCAATACAATTTACAGAAAAAAAAAGCAATTGTTGACAGTCTTGCGGTTAGCTTTTTTTTTTTCAATTACTTTTTTTTTTTGTCAACTTCATTAAATTATAAAAAGTATAATCAAGTCAATCTATTTATATGCGTATGGATTTTTAGCATCAATAAAATTTACTTTTGCATCAATTACACGACAAATAAATTTTTATATTCTCTAACAACAACACACGCTATCAAACCACCTCACGTCCCTTCCTTAGTAATTTGTAACATTACAATAGTTCTTTTACTATTAATGTATTAATTTTGATCAAAATCTAATTGATTTTTTATGTATGTACGACCATAAGAACGTGTTTGAAGTTAGATGGTATGACAAATGAATTTTGTTGCGGCCAATGCTGCCAAAAATAAAAAAAAATTTTTTACAATAAAAAAAATCAAACATGGCATTATTTGAATGCGATCACAAACATACTCAAGCAATAGATCTAGTAACAACAATATGTAATGACTGTGGATTATGTGTTTCTTTAAATGAGTTTGTTTCAGAATTTGAACGTAAGTTTAAGAATAATCATATTTAATTATAATAAATCAAATCAATCAACCAATTATTTAACGATTCTGAAAATTATATTTTTCATATGTAGTTGAGTTTGACAAAACTAGAACTTTGCTTCCCACATCAATAGATGGTAATATAGTACAACCGGGACAATATAATAATAAACCAAATGTAAGGATTTAACAATATATATATATATTTATATTTATTCGCGATCGATTACCTCTTTATATATATTCACATGAGAAATAAACAATTTACTCTTATTTACAATTTTATACATATATTATTATAGATTTTAAATGCAATAAAGAGAACACTTTCAACATTGAATTTTTCAAATTTTGAATCAAGAGTTGTTGCCATATATAACAGAGTTTCAAAAGATTTTGAAATAGGACAAGGACAGTTGCTTGGGCTAGTTATTGCTTCTTGTGCAATAATAGTCATTAGAGAAGAAAAAGCACCAATAACGATCCGTGAAATAGCGTCCATGTTGGAACTTAATGTTTACCAATTGTCTAATACTTTAAACATAATAAGATCTAATTTTCATCCATCTGTTACAACATTTCTAGAATTAGAGATCTTAATAACACGCGCATTAAATGAAATGTTTGAAAATGACGGCTGGAAAAATCGATTACCATTATACAATAATAATATTAAAGCATTAAGACACCTAGAAGAAAATTGGAGGATGTTGGAAAGTCGTGGAAATTGTAAAATACGAATATACGATGCATCAGTACCTCCACATACACCAATAATGTCAATGTCATCACCATCATCAACAACTACAACAACAACTTCTTCTTCTTCTCCCTCTTCATCTACAACGAATGACTCTTATATTTATACAATGATACATTACCGAAATGTATTAAATGGTTTTTGTATGGAATTATTAAAATGCGCAGATGAGACAAACATAGTAACAGGAAGACAGCCAGCACCTATTGCAGGGGCAATTATATTGCTTGCATTAGAAGCAACTGAACGACCAAGCTTCGATGAATGGAAAATTAATCATAAAAATATAGCAAAGTCTATTGGAACAATAGTTAATGTAGACTCGTCGTGTTCAATGCAAGAAAGATATAGAGAACTGGTTGATATAATGTCGAATAAAATTACAGATATACCTTGGGCTTATCTTGCACATAAGAATAAAAATAGGAGTTACTTGTATATAAATGATGTTTTGCAATTTCATGATTATATTATGGAATCTCATGAAAAAAACACAGGAAAACCGGGAAAAAATTCTACGGTGGCTAAACGTCCTCATACAAATTGTCAAAATAATAATAATAATAATACTACTACCACCACCATTACCACCACAATCACTGCTACCACCAGTAACAGTAATGATGATGATGGACCGATTGCAGTTGGTGACAATATTACATATTATAATAATAGTAATAATAAAAGAAAGAGAGTTATTAGTGAAGATGAAGATGAAGATTTGGAATTACTTATTGACGATGATGAAATAGATCAATATATAAGAGACGAGGATGAGGTAAGTTGATTAGAAACACTAAAATAAATGTCAAATAATATCATTATCATTATTATAATATTTTAAATAATAATTTTTTTTAGGTTGAAAATTTAAGAAATTTACAAGATTCAATTCTTGCAGATCAGGATGATCAGTTCATGAAAAAGCAACCGAAGAAACGGTCCAAGTTATTACATCTAAAAAAGCAAGAACCAAAACAAAATATCACCAATAATGATGGTGACAACAACGATGATGTTGGCTCGCAGGACAAATCTGATCAGCATCAAGAAAAAAATAAAGGAAAAGGGACTCAAGCAACATCTAAAAAAATATTAATGAATCCTAATGATATTGATATAGAAACATTTGATTATATATAATTTTAGTGTTAGATTATTATCAACATTATTATTCCTGGTAATGCATTTTCTTAATAATATTAACTATTATTATCATTATCATTATCATTATCATTATCATTAAAATAATAATATATCTTCCTACAAATTCATTAATGAATTTTAGAGAAAAAAAGATTTTTTTTCAATCTATTATATATCAAAATAATGAATGATTGATTGTACGTTAAATTTCTCTGTACATACATCCCTATTTAAAAAAAAATATATTATAATGAAGGTTTTTCTGATGGCGAGTAACGATAAAGCGTTAAGGTGAAAATTTTACTTGATTTAAATAAATTATGAAAATTTGTTTTCTAAATGAAATTTATTTAAGCAATTAATTAATTAATTATAGATGATAATCTAGAATTATTAAGTATAAATTAATCAATCTACATTCTTTATATCTTTCATTTTTTCTCTAATTTTAACCATTATTCTTTATACGTTTATTATTTTTTGCTACACCTTTTTTTTGCCTACCATTATTCTTTGCTTCAGACTTGCATAACATGTTTACCAATACTTTCAATCTTCTTTAACAAGTTTTCTAAATCTTTCTCACGAACAGAAGATGAATTTACAACAACTCTAAAAACAAACGGTAATTCAATATCTTTTTAGATATTTATTATTTTCATAAAAAAATTTGTTAATTTGGTAACTTGTCTTTATACAAACTATATATACTATCTTATAGGCACAAAGTATGTGATTTTTTTTGATCAATGTGGTGAAGTAAATTAATTATTTAAATATTATTATTAATTAAATATATTATTACTATTTTTCTCTTGTCTGTCATGAAATTTTTGCCTCTTAATTCTAGTATTATTTATTTATATAATAGAACAAATAATTACTATTTTAATCACGTCAGCATATTGATTGGAAATATCCCAATATCTAAAAAACGCAAGTATCTGTAAAATAGGTGAATTATTACGCTACTCAAAACAGATGTCTGCTTTTTTCACGAATACAGCTAATCATCCCACATGGGACTAAACCTAGCTTATTCTATAAAGCCCTAGAACCGCAAAACCTCACATCCCCAATGGAGGCCACAACCTAACTTATACCTGAATAAACTAAAGGAGAATTATTCATTAATCTTATTTCTCTTCTAAACGGTATTGGCACCTATCTACCAGTAAAGTTTATGAATAAGAAAATACTCTATATTTCGAGCAGCGTTTATGTCACGATTCTATGAGAAAAGAAAATGCAAATATAAGTTCAAAAAAACAAGTTTTCAATAGCAAACACACACTTACTAGACATATGTCATTACATATTCTGACCGGCCAGAATTTCTGATGTTCATCAAACTACCAATCACACAAAGAACAAATCTTACTTGTCCGAAATTCACCGATCATCCTCACCCACACATCTTCCTCAATTATCGATACAATCCTTTTTACCGGTCCCGCCCGACGCATGACCTCTAGAATTACTAGAAAATCACCCATCACCACTGCCCTGCTATTTTTCTTCGTTATCCTTTCACATATAATATTGTATGCCTTCTGACGATTGATATATGATTTCCATCGCATGTGAGGCCAACACCTTGTGCCATGGAATTTAATAAGAGTATGCATATGTTGGAGAATATTGTTCATATATAGGTAGCAACAGATGAACATGATGGTGTTGGGATATCTGTTTTAGAGATCGTTAAACCAACAAAAATTTAATAAATTATAAATTGAATGCTTATTATGTAAAATAGTTTCCACATTGTTATTATGCTTAGTCCATCTTCTCTCTTATCTTGTAAATCCAACTTGAGAATACCATTCTTTTGTTGAGAAATTCATTACATTGTGTATTATTACTCTCTTTAGATTAACACTAACACTCGTGCCATTTGTCATTATAGTAAAACCAAATCGTCGATTTGCTTGTTGTAACTTTTCTATACGAGATGTTATTTTCCACCATTCCTCAATATTTTCATTAAAACCTATTTTGCTTATCCACCTAAACCACAAAATTCCATCTCTGAAAACAATTGATACAAAGCATCTGAATCTACAAGTATAAATCGTCGATGAAACTTGGTATGTGGCAAAATGGAATAATCGTAATCCATGACTCTGTGTTTTTGATTGATATCAACCTTCTACCTCTGTTCGATTATTCTTCTCAAATGTAACAAAAATCTTCCAAAGTGACCAAAGATACTCTTAACAAGTGGTTGAATAACATAGGTAAGGCCCCCTGGAGTGATTGCTAAATTAGTATTTTCATCTTGTACATTTTTTTTGATAGGATCCCTTTAAAGCTCCCATAACATAACAAGAAGTTCTTTTTTCTTAATTTCATTTCCAGATCTTCTTTCACATCTTACCAAGCCAAGCTTAGCCAATCTTTCATTCCAATTTCATCCATCCATCCTTTTGGGTGCATTAGCGCGAGGTAAAATTTTTTGGCATCATTTACCTTTAAAAATACCAATCGGTGATGATTTTGTATTGTCTTAAGGACACATGTAAAACGAGTTTTTTCATTTCCTGTTGTTCGAGCCTGCACAGATTTTGTACTACGTTTATCAATAGTTAGATTTCCAGCCATATCAAATAAATAGGAAACCTTTGACCAATATTTGTTTTACGTCGCGTAGCAAGATCTAAGCCATAAAACCCAACATTGTGAAACGCGAAATCTTTCGCTGACACCTGAATAAACATCAGCAAATTGATTGTTAAAAGTAAGTTTTAACGATTTAGGAGTCACAGCAATTTCATCCTGCCGAAATTCAAAAAATTCATGCTTTTAAATTAGCTTATACGAAGAGTGTGGGAAAAAATTTAAATAAGGAAATAAATATGCAATCGAACATAAACATCAAAACACGTTAATATTAAAATGGTGCGGTGTTTATATTCCGGACAATACGGTAAAATGCCCATTGTACCTATTTTATAAATCTTTGAATTCCAAAAAGATTTAAAATATTTATTTTCACTTGAACCAATGTCACAGGTTAGAAATAATCTTTTACACTTAAATTAAACATATTTCCACTATTTTTATTACAACCGAAAGAATTGTTTGCATTAATTGTTATAAATAATTGATAATGTTGTTTTTTTGATAATATAAAGTTAAAGGAACAAATTGAAACTTTGAATGGATTATCAGTATCTGCTCTCTCAACGTTCTACCAATTTGACTGTGAAAAACTTTTAAAGCAAGTTTCAGATAAAGATTATGGACGAAAAAAGTATTTTGGAAAAAAAAACAATCATCTTTTAAAAAATGAAAATGAAAATTCAACATCACTAAGAGAAGCTTCTAAGAATCGAGGCATAGAATTTGAACTAGCCATCAAAGAAAAATTGGAGAATGTAGTTGATTGTTCTGATATTGATCCTTCAGAAGCCAAAAATATTTTAAGAACTGCAAAAATTGGTCAAATTTTATATCAATTGAGATTTGAAGTGCCCAATGAATTTTATGATGAATTAAACATAAGAAATTCATTGAAATTGAAAACCTATATACCTGATTTTATTCAAATTATAGAAGAAGATAATGAAAGAAAATTATTTATTATTGATGCAAAAGCATCTAAAAGTTCACGTATCTCACACCAGGTAAAAAGGTTATTTCCGTTTCAATATGATAATAGTATATATACATTAATTTCAAATTATATTATTTTTTATTTTATTTAAAATTTGATAGTTTCAAGTTGCTTCTTATGCTTATTTGACTAGTTTTATTATAAGAAAAATTCGGAATCTTTCTGTTTCAAGAATAGGTGGTATTTATTTACCTCATTTCGAATCTTTTCAATTACATACATTTCGAGCTGATTTTTTATTTCCAAAGATTGAATGGCTCTTCCGTAATGAATTGCCAAGAATAATGGCATCTACTGATGTTCAATGGCATTATAATGCTAGGTGCAAGTCTTGCGACTTTGTAAACAAATGTCGTGAAGATGCTGAAGGCTCTATTGCAATGATTCCATATATGTCGGTTGATAATGCTGAATATTTAAAAGAAGCTATTAGGTATTGGAAAACGAATAACTTAAATGATGATGGTGAACATGAAAGTTCAAGTAATAAAAACAATGTTGATGTTGATGTTGATATTGAGGATTTATCAAACTATTTTCAAAAAATCAGTATTGATGAAAAAAATTCTAATTCACAAAATAATATTAACCATGCAATAAAGAAGATCATTAAATATAATAAAATAACAAAAGTTTCTCCATATCTGAAAGCTATTGAGACAAAACAAGCACAGGTAATGTATATATATATATGCATATTAATCACGCATATTTATTAATTAATTAGTTATTTTTTTAATAAGTTTAATTAAATTTTCTAGTACCTTGGAATAGCAACGCCTAGTTTCCCACAGATAACTGATCACAACCTTATAATTTCTATGTCACTAGATCCATTTTTATCTAGATCTTTTGGATGGGCTATTTGCATTTATACAAGTGATGGAAAATCAATTCAAAGCTATCGTCACGCAGATATAATTTCAAAAGATGATGCATTTGGTAGAAAATTTGTTGATTTAATGGAAAAGTTTGTAACTAAATTGGCAAAATGTTTTGAATATCTTGCTAAAGAAAAATCAAGAGCTTGTATTTTTGTATATTCTGAACAAGAAAAAAATACAATCAAAGATTCTTTATTAAAGATTTTATCCATGGATTCAAATCTGGTGTCTAGTTCAGTGGGGCATCTAGCTGCAAGATGTCTTTTTAATTTATTTGAGGATTCTTCTCTATTATTAGCTTCTAGAAATAGTGAAATCAATGAAATTCCTGAACTTTCTGGTGAATCAAGTGAATTTCTACGTGTGATCATTCTTGAACAAGCTATCAGGGAAAATATTGCAATTCATGTGCCAGGATTTTATCGATTGATTGATGTTTGGGAACAAATGGTGAGGCCTAAACTTGAGGATGAACAACTATTAGAGTTATTAAATGAACAAGTCAAAAATATTGACTTGGAAGAAATTTATTCTTCATGGATTTCTAGTAAATGTGAAGAAGTAATCGGGTTAAATAAAGCACATTTATTAAGAAATGATTTTGCGAACGCTGTTATAAAAGTATATTATATGCTGTTAAAGGAATATACTGATGACATTTCTTCAAAGTTATTGTTCGCGCCATCACCATTTAAATTTGCAGAAATAAGATCTTTTAAAAACGATTATTTAGGAAAAATCTATTTTTTCAAACAATATGAAGCAATCACCGAAAGTAAGCAGGTGAGATCGGGAAGATTTGCAGATTTTGTTTCAGATGAAGCTCAAAATGGGATTTTGTTACAATTAGACAAGTTTATTAATAAAAGTGGTAGTGAATGGGTAATGCGTTTTGATGTATTGAGTGATGGAAAAGTGGGTAGTCTGCTAGAAAAAAGTAATTTAAAAGAATTTATTTTAGTAGAAGATACAATGAAGGTATACTATTTATAATTATGCATTAATCTATAATTATCATTGGTAGTAAATACATTCATACATTTATATATAATTATTATTATTTATTATTAAACTATTATTTAAATTCAGGGTATTTTGGAAGCAATCAAATTTCCAGATATGAAATATAGGAATACAATATTTGGTTTTGCATTTACAGTTGTCTCTATACATGATATTGATTATAGCAATCCAGATAAAAAAATAATTAATTTGAAAGGCTATATTAAAAAAAGCCTAAATGTGGGTTCCAAGTATAGATTATACAAACGTTATGTTGATTTCAATTTGGATAAAGTTTTAAAAGTACTATCCGAAATTGATGAATGCGAAGAATCCATATTTTTGGTAATTTGTTAGATACATACATACATATTTACATACACATATTGTGAAATTATACATTAATATTTATTGATATTTTAGCAATTATTGAAAGATCCAAATGCATGGGGAGCCAAAAAATTAATATGCGAGGATGAAGGTTTAAAAGATATTAAAAAAATGGCATTAGAACTTCGGGATAGCTTTTTAATGTCGCCGTCGCAAAAGGAATTTTCCGCAAGCTTATTGGAACGAAGACTTCAAATAGTTTGGGGGCCCCCAGTAATTATTAAGTCAATAATATTTAATATTTTTTTCTTTTCGGATATAATGATTGACATTGCTTATTTTTATGCCTTATATGTATATCTAGGGTTCAGGAAAAACACATTTCCTTGCACTATTTATTAACTGGTATTTGAGTACCATTAAACCTAAACCAACTGGAAAGAATAAAAATTTTATTATTGGCGTAACAGCATTTACAAGAGTTGCAATTGATAATTTGTTAAAAAGAGTTGCCAAGGTTCAAAATGATTTAAATAAAATGTGTAATTTTGACATCATTAAACTGATAAATAAATCAAATGAGCAACCCCCCAGTGATATGTTTGAATGTCAAGCTGGGAAATTATTTACCAATATATCTAAAAATAAGATTGGAAGTTCAGGAAGGCCGATTGTTGTTGGAGGTACAGTCTGGGACTGGTTAAAAGTTAAAAAAGGATTTAACAATTCATGGACAGGATGTGACATTGTCGTAATTGATGAAGGTTCACAGGTATTTGAAATAAATTTTTTAATAGATTTTTATTACTGGCGTAATATTAATATATTAATATTATTTTAGTTGCTAGCATCCGATGCTAGTATTGTAGTTGAATGTTTGAATTATGATAATGGTAGATTAATTGTTGCAGGAGATCATATGGTAAAAATTTTGATTTTATATATTCTATATATATATATATATGTCTAATAATTATTATCTCAAAGCAACTTGGACCAATCATTCAAAATACTTATCCTGTCTTTCCTGACGATCATCCGCTTGTGTTTGAATCAGTTCAAAAATGTTTAATGAGAAAAGAAGATGGTTCTGTATTTAAAGTAGAAGACTTCTTTTTGAAGAAAGGACAAAAACATAATTTTGGACCTTGTACAATTCAACTCCAAGAAAATTGGAGAATGGTAAGCATTATTAAAAAATTTATCATTATTTATTATAATAATAATACAATTTATTAACATGTAATATTTTTTATCTCAAAAATATTTAATTATGATACGAATATAGAATGATGAACTAAATAGTTTTTTCCAAAGAATTTATGGAGATAAATACTTATCCGTCTATCCTAATTTAAAACTTACTTATGTGGATTCTAGTTTACCACATATAACCAATCCAAAAGTCAGACAAGTTTTGAGTTTGAATCCCGCAATAACTTTAGTTAAGCTTACATTGACAAAAGACGAAGAAAAAAAAGAAAAAGATACTCATCCATTTACAGAATCAATGTCTAGAAGATTGTTAAAAGCAGAAGCACAAGTTGTTTATGAGATAGTATCAGCATATTTTAGCGTGTCACGGAAACAGGAAAAAAAATATCCTTCATTAATAGTAGTCACACCTCATCATCGTCAAAGGCATGCTATACAATCTCGTCTTTCAACTTATTTGCAAGATCCTGATATTATTCTACAAGTAAACACTGTAGAAAAAATGCAAGGTCAAGAATCAGATATTGTGATTGCATGTTTTGGATTTTTGGATGTAAATGAAATATCAAAAGAAACAGATTTTTTATTTGATTGTAACAGATGGAATGTAGCAATTAGTAGAGCCAAATGTAAAGTAGTTGTAATTACAACAGATGAAATGTTATACCCACAAAGTTTAGAAGTGTTTTCAAATAAGAAAACAAGTGAGGGTTGGGTATTTTTGAGAATGATTGAAAAATGGGTACAGGAAAAATCTTTAGAACTAAATAAAGAAAAGAAAAATGGTGGATTAATAGAATGGAACATTGATAATGATGAAGTAGTAGTTGAAGAGGATGAGACTGAAGAGGCAAAGGAAATGGTGGCGAAAGCTGAAGTGGTAGTGGAAGAAGATAGTGATAATATATATTTAAATTTGGGTTCAAGTAGTTTTGATGATGATCAAAAGGTTCCAAAACTACTATTATTGTCTTAAATTATTTATATTTTTTAGAAACAAGTTTGTATGTTGATTATTTAATATCATTTTTCATGCCTTAAAATTTTTCTCGATAAAGGAACTAACATTGTATTATTATTTAAAGTGAATTCTGTTTGTAATAAATACCTCGTTTTGATTTCAATAAGATATTTAATAAGGTTCAATGCAAAAAAAATCACCCTTGGGTATTAATAAATAACACTTCTTCATCTTCAGAACCAATAATGTCAACGAGTACCTGGCTTCCTTGTCTGGAAAAATCAATTTTTTAGACGAAGAATCCAAAAAAAATAAAGGCTTCTTTGTACAAACTATGCGTATAAATAAAATTTACGCCATACGTGCTTGTGTTTGTTAATAAACAAAATGCCCAAGAGAAAAAAGAACCGAAAAAGATGTCTATTACGAATAAGTATTACTAGAGCATGATTTTTGAGAGCGCTATTCTAGTTATATATGATATACTATTTTATATGCCCAATTAAAGGAATTGTCATGGAATATTTGTCACCTGATTCCTTTGAAAATATTTATATCTATTTACAAGGACACAGGCTTGAAGATGAGCGACAATTGTTGAAAGTCATGAATATTGCTAATTTTCTTCATAATGCTGATTTTGTTCATGGGTGATTTACGAACTTTTAATTTTATGATTTCTTTAAAGACAAAGTTCTGAAACTTTTTGGTTATGTTTGGTCCGGAAAGTCTCCAATTCAAAGCAATTTTTAAATTATTATAAAATTATTGTCTTCATCAAGTATTTTTAGTGATGTTATCCGGCTAAGGTTTTTCTACCGGCTAACATCACTAAGTATTTTTTCCCAAGTAACTAAATGCTAACCCTAATTTATTCAATAGGTATCCATTATTACAATGATGAAATACCTTGGCATCCAGATGTATTTGCTGGGGCAGCTATCAAAAAAGAACATGACATTTATCTTTTAAACGAGTACTTTGATTTTAAATAGCCTTTTTGAAGCAGCAATATCAGCTTTAAAAAATTGTGTAAATTAATGATTTCTTTAAATATTTGAAATTATTAATTGTATACTGTTGTTATACATCCAAGAATCTTCCTTTTTTCACCACGCCACCATAACTATAGAACAAGTTGCTTTTTTGTTATAATAGTACCAATATTTGATAAAAGTTGTTCCAATTATTTGCAACATTTGGGGGAAATTTTTTTTTTTTTAAAAGCCAATATATATTTTTAAAGAGTTTATTGTTTAAAGGATGAAATTTATATATAGGGTTATAAATGGTGTGGCTTTACGTTTTATGGTTGAGTTTCGAGTTAACTTTTTAGTTACACTCGTCATACAATGCTCGTCAATTAATTAATTTTACGAATTTTATTTACAATTAATTATCTTGCTTACAGCCTCTTTCTTGCGCCTAGAAAGCTTCGACGAATCTGTATGCACACTCTATAGTACAAATAACAATAAATAAAGATAACCTTTCCACAAAGCAACAAAGGATCCTATAAAGTTCCCATTTTATTTACTTTTACTTTTCTTTTGCCGATTAAAGTCAGCCGTACATTTACAACGATTACTTTTAACATAATAACTGTCGACACTTGAATGCTTTTTCCAATCAGACCTAACGTCTTATATTCACACTTAAACAAAACAATTAAGCTCGTTTATAAAAATAAAAACGTTCAACAAAAACCAAAAAACCTTTGCTTACTTTACTAAAAGCGAATACCCAAAACATTTGCTTTCTACCAAAGTAAATAACCAAACCCAGAGTTCTATACCACTTTGATAACTAAATGGACAATATCAAATCCTACTATTTAATTTTCGACCACAAAAGTGCTTTATTTAACAACAAAGAATCATACGGGCATTTACATAGTATTAGTATAATAATAAAATGTGATATTTCGGATTTTGTGTAATTTTAAACCAATAAGCAATATGTTTTTCAATCCTATGTTATATGTATTTTGCAATCCTATGTGAGTTGTGAGGATCTAATACGAATAAAAAAAAGTACCAAAAAGTTTTTTTTTTAACAAACCAAAATTTGTTTCCATTTACGATTTTATGAATGAAATCATTAAACAATTGGAGGAATTTTTTATTATTATATATAGTTTGTTAATAAATTGGATGATTAAATTTAAAGGTAAATTAATAATTTATTTTAATGTTGACATTTATTATATACATATTTTCTAACGTGAAATGAGCATTTCTCTATTATTCAATAATATAGTAATAGCCGTTTAATCATAAATAACACAAACAAAACAGGATGAGCAGGTGGATAATTAGATCATTTGGAATTTTATAGATAACTTTAATATTTGCATTTTAATTAGCATTAAAAAAAAAATTCGGGTTGGTCACAACGGTTGATCATCAAAATTAATAAACATCAATAATTGTAACGCCTAAAAATTTTCATAATAATAACACGACAAAAATAATTTGAATCATAATATAAGTCATTTCGTGAAATAAATCTATTCATTACAAAAGCATTTAATATATTTTTTAGTAACATTTTTTATTTAATAACATTTTTCCATTTCCTTAAAAGGGAAGAAATGTCAAAGCAAATGTTAATAGAAAATCGATAACTTTGAACCTTTACAAAAATTATTTTTACTAATATAAATGAAAAAAACTCTCTGACAGGCCCTTAATTGAACATCTGCGAATATAATCACAGAAGGATTATCTCCATAACTTGTTTGGTTATCAAGCCTTTATGTTTTAAAGTTTAAATAAATTTCCATTGTTTATAGTAAAATCAATAAAATTGATAACTTTGAACCTCTACAAAAATTTTTTTACTAATATAAATGAAAAAAACTCTCTGACATACACTTAATTGAGCATCTGCAAATACAATTGCGGAAGGAGTATTTAAAGAGCTTGTTTGGTTATCAAGCCTTTACGTTTTAAAGTTTAAATAAATTTCCGTTGTTTATAGTAAAATCAATAAAATTGATAACTTTGAACCTTTACAAAAAAAATTTTTACTATATAATATAAATGAAAAAATCTCTCTGGCAGACCCTTAATTGAGTATCTGCAAATACAATCGTGGGTGGATTATTCCGAGAACTTGCTTGGTTATTGAGCCTTTACGTTTTAAAGTTTTAAATAAATCTTCGATTATTTACTATATACATAGGTAAACTCGATAAGTCGGGTTTGGCCTAACTCGGACAAAAATTTCCAGCCCTTTTTTTTTATATTTAAAAAATTTCTTGATAAGTCGGACACATATATAAACTCTTGTTAAGCTGTAAGTCGGACAACTCCTCCAGCCAGATAA